TTAAGCTAATGTATCATTGTGTTTTCTGTAGGGTCATAGTTCAGGCACTCCATTTGAAGACATGGGTGATGACTGCACTGTACCAAGTACTCCTACGTTATTTGTACCGAAAAGTACTGATGGATTTGCAGAAGCGATCAAGTAAGTATATAACTTATTTTCACCATTTCAAATCTAGATTAAATAAATAGTTAGGACTTGCAATGGCTAAATTTCATAAAACTGACAGTTTACCTAAAGATTTGTTAGTACTTACCTGTCATGCAAAATTTTCGTCGTTTATAATATAAAATTTATAATGCTCATACATGTCTTATAGTGATTGTGTCTGTATGAACGTATTTATATGTTCTGAACTTTTTGTCATGATCCGTGTTTTTATAAAACTTAATCCTTCGCTGTTTTTGAAATAACAGGCCATATCATGCGACAAATAATACATAATATTTATCACAAAGCATCTCAATTTTGAAGTGAAGTCCCATGAACTCGTGTTACATTTTGTCCATTTCAATTAATAAGGAAATCAAAAAGTATGAAAATATTACATTGATCAGCAAAATAGTAGATACAATGGTAGGAAAGAAAGGAACACTATTTAAGGGGGAACTTGTTTTGTGTCTCTCTCACTCTCAAAATGATCTCAAGGCCATTTGCATCTTGGGTCAATTGTCAGGATATAAATTCACCTGTTTGATTTTTTTCTAGTTCACCACATCAGCATGTGCGGTTTCAGTTCAATCCACCAGAAGGAGATGCAGGCGCACGGCCTGCATTAGCTCAGCTGGCCACACAAGGAGGTAAGAGACACTGAAATAATTCATTGGTATTGCAAAATTACTGCACAGTAGTAAAATGACTAAGAAATTAGAATGTGCACTTCAGAAGTTTATCATGTACATGAAAAATGAAAGACAATGAATAAAAATTAAAACAAATAAATTTTAAGCTTGTTGTTTATTTCAGCGCTTGGAATGGATGACACTCATATAGATATACTTGGAGAAGAGGACGGTGGTGGTCGCAGCGTACCAACGACGCCGTTACAAAGTCAGGCTCCCATGATGCAGTTTCCAACCGCAGAGTCGACCGGAGACGCACCTGAAGAAAGTTCGCAGTCTGTGCCGGTATCTGCAGCACATTTAGATACAGGGTCTAATAATGATTCTACCGAGTTAACTGAGAGTGCGGAGAATACAGCTGCGCAAGATGTCGAGGACACGGAGCAATCTGAAGAAATCAATCTTGAAGAGTGAGTAATATAAGGTTGTTATGAGGATATCGCTGATTATGTAGGAGGGCTGTGCAGAGCAGATGTCAGTGTGATCCTGTAATGCCTGAGTGCATACTTTGCGGCATCCTGGTGATAACCTTATTATTGTAGATCTTTTTCTGTTTGTGCAATTTGTAAAACTTACTGAGATATAACAGCCTGAAAAAGGTATACCTGCCTGTTTGTGTTCAGTGACATGATTCTATTTCAGTCACTTACTACAGGGCTGCTGTATCCAATGCAAACAAAAGAGTGTTCAAATAAGGACGATATTTGAACTTATTTGAAACAAGACTATATTATGTTTGAGAACGGTTGAATTCTGTTGTTTTCACTGTTATATGTATGTAATTAATGTTATTTGGGTGAAGTAAATAAGTAAGTTATCTCTTTAGAGCAACAACAAGTCTATGACAATAGGGTTGCTGATTGATTTATTTCTTGCCAGAACTGAGAATGACAACGCCATTGATTTGGAAAGCGGTGCCGCTG